CACCACCACCACCACTACCGCCTTCTCTGTAGCTGACACTGACACCGCCGAATTCTCATGCCCACACTGTCCGCGTACATTCACCTCACGCATCGGTCTGGTCGGTCACTTGCGAATCCATCGCACAGAGACTGGCGAACCAGTGCCTGGAGCACCAACCCACACCCACCGCACTCGCCTCCACTGCCCATACTGCCCTCGCACCTTCACGCATCGCATGGGTCTATTCGGCCACATGCGCATCCACGACGACCTGCGGTAGACAACCGCCGGCAACACCACACATTCAAACACTCCCTACCTCCTTACACCATCACCCCACCACACATCATCACTCACACACCACATGCACCCAACTGCCACCTTACACGCAAGTGGGAAGTGTGCATCTCGACTAGGTCCCCATGCGGCTTCGACTGTACGAGTGAGCTGAGTCCGAGACTATCCCCACACGTCAAGTGTCGTGGATAGGAAGGTTGCTGATTGAGGCCCGCTCTCGGTTCACGCAGTTCGTCGCGCTGTGTGTGTTGTGTTGTGTGTAGTGGCGGACTGGTGGGCTAGGGACGGGCTGAAACAGCACCTTCCACGGCACTCTCACGCAAGTGAGAGACACGCCGTTCAACTCCCGTTGTGTGAAATCCTGGTGTTTGTGTGTGAATGGGGAGCCAGGTCGAGCTGCGGCGCGCGCAGGCATGGTCAGTCGACCATGTCAGCCACCACGCCCATTTCCCACTCCAGTCTGCTGACCGACTCGGACAGCGACTGGGGTGTGGGAGTGGGAAGGGAGAGTGAGGTCGACGACTCAGCGCACTTTCTCCTCACTGTAAACAATCCGACGCGCTTGAAGCTATCACGGTGCGCTAAAAGCCGTGGCTTGGAAGGTTGCCAACTGACGGGATACCTTGGACCTCCTCCTTAACTGGAGGCGGTCTGAGAGTCAGCCTGCAATGGCTCCTTTTTAATGTGGCCTTTATGGTATGTGTGACCCGAGCCAGGCGTCGGCGCCACGCCCAGGTGCAGCTTCGGCCGTGGCAGCCTCCAAATCTCTGTTGTGTTGGTTGAAATCCTGGTGATTGTTGTGTGGACCAGGGGGTGTGGTGGAACGCCAAGGTGAGGATCCGTCCGAGCCATCCACCTGCGGCCTCCCTTGTCTCCGGTCTTCTTGATTCTGTCTTGACACCGGGCCCAGGCGGGGGAGGAGGGGAGAGTGTAGGTAGATGCAGCGCAAGTCTACCCGCACTATAAACTCCTGCGCAAGTCACCGTCCCTGTTCCCACCGTTGCAGCTGCAGCTGTGTGGCATACGGTTGACATCAACGAAATCGATGGTCGAACTGTCAGGGTCGGTCTTCCCCACTTCCCACCTGGACCCGGTGTCAAGCCAAAGTCAAGAAACCCGGAGGCGCAGGAGGACGCAGGTGACTGGCACGGCCGGACCCGCACCTAGGCGTGCGACCACACCATACACTTGATCAGAATTTTCCACCAACAACGACATCCCAACAGGGGTCAGAAGGGTGAGGATGATGACTGGGCAGCCATGCCCACCACCCGTATACCCAGCGGGAGCGCAAGCACATCTGCCGACAGGGGACAAGGTGTCAGGAAACTGCCAGCGCATACCAGGCTGGCATAGCATACGCTTTCAGACTTTTTGGCTGCATATAAATTGTTACTGGTGCGGGAAACTTTATTTGGAGAAAAAGAGGGTCCTTGTTGAACTTAAAAAATACTCATCATCAGGTATAAACAAGGTTCATTATCCGCAAGGCGGGCTTTCATGCAGAGCATAAGCATAGTTTACAGAAGACTCCATCAACCCAGAATGTGACAGACAGATTTGGCGCCGGTGGACATGTGGCAGACGTCCACAATTATCAAAATTCTCACCTCGACCTTACTGGAGGCGTTTAAAGTCTTCCCCAGGGGGGGGGGTGAGAGACAACATCAGTGCCATTTAAAAAGGACTCCAAGTATTTTTCCTGTTCAAGGCATGGTTGTGTGCAGGCGCTAAATTGGCGCCTGCGTTTAAGACTTTGCCGTTGTCCAGGCCTCCTCACATGTAGGTCAAATCCACCAACTTAGCTTCTTGAAAGCAAATTCGACAAATCGCCCCCGTCACTTTTTCGCCCTGTCGACAGTTTTCGGGGGACATTCCAGTTGTGTGAGCATTGTAAACACTGATTTTCATCAATATACCACAATTTACCGCATTCCATGTGCAAACTGCTCTAGCGTTTATGTTGGGCATACCGGCCGACGGCTTGGGACCCGCATTAAAGAATGTTAGTTGGCCATCCGCCGACGGGACCTTTTGTCGCTCGTGTTTGCGCACGCCCTTGAGTGTGATCACCGCTTCAACTGGGAGGGGACTGAAGTGATCGCTAGTGCCAACACCAAACAGGAGCGAGAGTTTCTAGAAGCTTGGAACTCTACAAACAATAGCATCAACTGCCATGTCGACTTGGACGCTCACCACGAAGGCTTACGTTCACGGTTCGCCGGCTTGAGCCCACCCAAAGACATCAACTGCTAATCCATGTTCGGCCATGTAGAATATCACGGATTCAGCACCTCCCCGACAGAGTGAACCATATTTGAAACCCCCAACACCTCCCCTAACGTCCGCCAACTATCCAAACACGTTCTTCACCACCACACATAGACGTCTGTTTTGTCGATGTAACTTCGATGTCCCCCCAGCTCCCTAGTTCAATTATCTCCCTCATGCTTTCATTTCGTCTGACGACGTGTTGGTGTAACCGACTTGAAAATTCACGAGTATACTTCGATTGTCCGACGAGCCTTCTCCTTTTATACTACAATCTGTTTATGTAAAAATTGAGTGTGCTAAGGCCTTTTCGTGTCTCATGCTAAATGGTCCCAACCCACCTGCGATCATCTCAGATGGAGATGAAATCGATGAAAATGGCCCAGCTGCTAATAATCTGACGCCGGGAAAAATGGAGCGGAGCCGTTTACAGTTACTAGTGAAAGTGTGATTCCCCGTCGGAAGAAGAAGATGGGTTCATCAAGAGGGGTTTATTTTGGGTGCGACCGTCAAAGTAGGGATTTCGGCTACTTGTCTACTGAAACTGGAGATTCCCGTACACTGCTCTTAGTACATGTATTAGCGACCTCCGAATCAAGAATAATGCACCATGTGATGACAACTATGCACAGGAATCTCCGGACTCGGATGACGGGTTGTAAGAATCCCTGTATTGTTTAAGTCCATCGATGGTACCCACGCAACATTTAAGAGGTGAAGTCCGACAGACAAACGTTTTAAAACATTCATCACCAATCTGATGCTGGGAATGGACGCAACAACCCCCCACCCCAACACACACACACACACACACACGACAGTTCGACCGTCGATTTCGACGATGTCCACCGTGTGCACCACAGACTGCATTGTGGGAGCAGGGACGGTGACTTACGCAGGGGTTTATAATGCCAGTGGACTTGCGTAGCATCGACCTACACTCTCTACTCATCCCCCGCCTGGGCCCGGTGTCAAGACAGAGTCAAGAAGACCGGAGACGAGGGAGGCCGCAGGTGGATGGCTCGGACGGATCCTCGCCTTGGCGCTCCACTCCGCACCCCCTGGTCCACACACAAATGACCAGGATTTTGACCACAAAACAATGGGGTGGTGACAGTGGTCCAGTTGTGCGACGAATGCCGACAACAAGGTCCGCCAGCGCACCCCGCAAATGTTTGCACTTGTTTTTACGCACAGATAACGCCTGCCAGAATCCGATGTGGCCCGAGTTGGTCCAGCGCATCTAACACGTGGCCCGTTTTCAGAGAACAACACACACACACACACGACAGTTCGACCGTCGATTTCGACGATGTCCACCGTGTGCCCCACAGCTGCAGCAGCGGTGGGAGCAGGGACGGTGACTTGCGCAGGGGTTTATAGTGCGGGTAGACTTGCGCTGCATCTACCTACACTCTCTCCTCCTCCCCCGCCTGAGCCCGGTGTCAAGATGGAGTCATGAAGACCGGAGACGAGGGAGGCCGCAGGTGGATGGCTCGGACGGATCCTCACCTTGGCGTTCCAACACACCCCCTGGTCCACACAACAATAACCAGGATTTCAACCAACACAACAGAGATTTGGAGGCTGGCACGGCCGAAGCCGCACCTGGGCGTGCCGCCAACGCCTGGCTCGGATCTCACACTGTGGTGGGAATACCATAAAGGCCACATTAAAAAGGAGCCATTGCAGGCTGACTCTCAGACCGCCTCCAGTTAAGGAGGAGGTCCAAGGTATCCCGTCAGTTGGCAACCTTACAAGCCACGGCTTTTAGCGCACCGTGATAGCTTCAAGCGCGTCAGATTGTTTATAGTGAGGAGAAGTGCGCTGAGTCGTCGACCTCACTCTCCCTTCCCACTCCCACACCCCAGCCGCTGTCCGAGCCGGTCAGTAGACTGGAGTAGGGAATGGGCGTGGTGGCTGACATGGTCGACTGACCATGCCTGCGCGCGCAACAGCACGACCTGGCCCCCCATACACACACAAACACCAGGATTTCACACAACGGGGGTTGAACGGCGTGTCTCTCACGTGCGTGAGAGTGCCGTGGAAGGTGCTGTTTCAGCCCGTCCCCAGCCCACCAGTCCGCCACTACACACAACACACACACAACGTGACGAGCTGCGTGAACCGAGAGCGGGCCTCAGTCAGCAACCTTCCTATCCACGACACTTGACGTGTGGGGATAGTCTCGGACACATGTCACCCGTGCAGCCGAAGCCGCATGGGGACCGAGTCGAGATGCACACTTCCCACTTGCGTGGGAGGCGGCAGTTGAGTGCATGAGGTGTGTGAGGGTTGATGTCTGGTGGGGTGATGGTGTTAGGAGGTAGGGGGTGAGGGAGTGTGTGGTGTGACCGGCGGTTGTCTACCGCAGGTCGTCGTGGATGCGCATGTGGCCGAATAGACCCATGCGATGCATGAAGGTGCGAGGGCAGTGTGGGCAGTGGAGGCGAGTGCGGTGGGTGTAGGTTGGTGCTCCAGGCACTGGTTCGCCAGTCTCTGTGCGATGGATTCGCAAGTGACCGACCAGGCCGATGCGTGAGGTGAAGGTGCGTGAACAATGTGGGCATGAGAGGTTGGCGGTGTCGGTGTCAGCTGTAGAGGAAGCAGTGGTGCCGGTGGTGGTGGTCGGCGCGTGTGACGGTGGAGCGAGGATTGGTCTGGACGTGGTGTATGTGTTGGATGTCGTGGTTGTATCGGAATTGTGGTCAATTCCGCTCTCGTGGATGGGCATGTGGCCGAATAGACCCATGCGATGCGTGTAGGTGCGAGGGCAGTGTGGGCAGTGGAGGCGAGTGCGGTGAGTGTAGGTTGGTGCTCCAGGCACTGGTTCGCCAGTCTCTGTACGATGGATTCGCAAGTGACCGACCAGGCCGATGCGTGAAGTGAAGGTGCGATCGCAGTGAGGGCAGATGTAGTCCTGGCCCTCACATCTGATGATGGAGGTTGCAGGGGTTGTGCCTGTTGTTGTGTCAGGTTCGGCTGTGGTGAGGTCGTGGGCGACAGACGCCGAAGCGGCCGTCGTTGTGGCAGTGATGGATGAAGAGGAGGTGGAAGGGGAGGAGTGAGGGGTGGTAAGGACGGTGGCGTAGATGTCGGCTGGGGAGTAATTAGTGGGTGCACAAGGCGGCGGAGACAACTGAGGTGGAAGTGGTTCAGTCGGCGTGCCTGTCTCGTGTACACCGTCCAGTTCTCTGCTCCGTACAGTAACGTCGGCAGGATGACGGCCTTGTACATCTTCAGCTTCGCGCGCAGTTGGAGACCGTGGCGATTCCAAACTGTGCTTCGGAGGCGTCCGAAGGCTTGACTGGCTTTCGAGATCCTGTTGGCGACTTCGTCATCAATCTTGGTGTTGCGGGAGAGGGTACTGCCCAGATACGGGAAGTTCTCCACCACTTGCAGTTGATTTCCGTTCACGCTGATTTGCGGCGGCGCGTTGGGGCCTGTGGCTGAGTTGGGCGGCGGTTAGTGCATCACCACCGTCTTCTGCGTGTTGATGACCAGACCGAAGTTCTCGCAGGCGGCGGAGAACAGGTCCATGCTCCGTTGCATCTCCTCTTCCGAGGCGGTGTTCAGGGCGCAGTCGTCAGCGAAGAGGAGTTCGTGCACGGTGGCTGTGGATACACGCGATTGGAAGTTCATGCGCCGGTGATTCAGCAGATGACCGTCCGTTCTGTAGGCGATGCGGATTCCAGGGCGTTCGTTGCGGTAGGCGTCCATCAGCATAGCAGAGAACATGAGACTGAAGAGGGTAGGCGCCAGCACACAGCCCTGCTTCACTCCGTTGGTCACTGCGAATGCTCTGAGACAGCTCCGTTGTCCGTGACTCGCGCCATCATACCGTCGTGCAGCTGACGCACCATCTGAGTGAATCGCTCCGGACAGCCGAGTTTCTGCATGATCTTCCCCAGTCCTTCACGATTCACCGTGTCGAAGGCTTTCGTCAGGTCCACGAAGGTAGAGTAGAGGTGGGTCCGCATCTCCTGGCACTTCTCCTGAAGTTGGCGGGCTGCGAAGATCATATCCGTGGTCCCACGATGACGACGGAAGCCGCATTGGCTTTCCGGCAGAAGGCCCTGTTCCAGATGGTTGTTGAGGCGATTGAGCAGGATGCGAGCGAAGATCTTCCCGCCGATGTTCAGTAGGGAGATGCCGCGGTGATTGTCGCAGACTTGGCGATTCCCTTTGCGCTTGTAAAGGTGCACGATAGTTGCGTCCTTGAAATCTTGCGGGACTTCACCTTGACGCCACATCTCCTGGAAGAGCGCAGTCAGGTGATCCATGAGTTGGGGTCCTCCGTGCTTGTAGACCTCAGCAGGGATTGCGTCCGATCCGGGTGCTTTCCCGCTGGAGAGCTGCTGCACGGCCCTGATCGTTTCCTGGAGAGATGGCGGGAGGTCGAGGTCCACGTTGGTCTCTACTTGCGGCAAGCGGGCGATGGCGGCGTCGGAGATGACGGAAGGTCGGTTGAGGACGCCTCGAAAGTGCTCGGCCCATCGCTGCAGGATTTGCGTCTTCTCAGTCAGGAGAGTGCTGCCGTCGGCGCTGAGGAGAGGAGCAGTGCCCTTCGTCGGCGGACCGTAGACAGCTTTGATTGCGGAGAAGAAGTTCTTCCATTCGTTGCGGTCCGCGTAGCCTTGGATCTCCTCAGCTTTGCGAGCAGCCCAGGCGTCCTGCATCTCGCGCAGTCGTTGCTGGAGCTGTCGGCGACTGCTGTAGAAGGCAGCTTTGTTGTCCTCAGTGGGGTGATCTACGTAGGCTTTGTGTAGGCGGTTCTTCTCGGCAAGCAGATTGCTGATGGCAGCGTCGTTGTCGTCGAACCAGTCCTGGTGTTGGCGGGGAGCACGACCGAGGACGGCGACCGCCGTCGACTAGACTATGTCCCGCAGTAGACACCAGCGGTTCTCCACGGAGGCGTTCTCGGCAGCGGCGGCGGCAGCGATAGGAAGGTTGTCTAGCCGTTGAGCTAGCTCATTGCTGAAATGGAGACGGTGAGCAGGCAAAGACAACAAAGCAGCATTCAGCTTACCTGGGGGTCGCTTACCTTGTGGTCTCCTGCGAGGCTGTAGGCGAATACGCATCTTCGAGATGACGAGGCGATGGTCGGTCCACCCGTCAGCGCCCGCGATCGCCTTCGTCGCCAGCACGTCCCGCTGATCTCGCCTCCGAACGAGGACATAGTCCAGCACACACACACACACACACACACACACACTCACACGACGACAGTTCGTCCGTCGATTTCGACAATGACCACCGTGTGCCCCACAGACTGCATTGTGGGAGCAGGGACGGTGTCTTACGCAGGGGTTTATAGTGCCAGTAGACTTGCGTAGCATCTACCTACACTCTCTCCTCCTCCCCCGCCTGGGCCCGGTGTCAAGACAGAGTCAAGAAGACCGGAGACGGGGGAGGCCGCAGGTGGATGGCTCGGACGCTTCTTCGCCTTGGCGCTTCACTCCGTACCCCTGGTCCACACACCAAGACCAGGATTTTGACCACAAAACAATGGGGTGGAGGCAGTGGTCCAGTTGTGCGACGAATGCCGACAACAGGGTCCGCCAGCGCACCCCGGGAATGTTGGCATTTGTTATTGCGCACAGATAACGCCTGCCAAAGTCCGATGTGGCCCCCGTGTTGGTCCAGCGCATCTAACACGTGGCCCGTTTGGAGGGCACAACACACACACACACACACACTATTCGAACGTCGATTCCGACAATGTCCACCGCGTTCTACACAGCTAAGTGCAGAAGGCATAGTAGCTTGCTTGCGAACTAGTTGGCAGTGATTGTAGACTTGCGCAGCATCTACCGCACTCTCCCCTCCCCCACCTGTACCCAGTGTCAAGACAGAATCAAGGAGTCCAAAGGCGGGGGAGGGCGCAGGCGGTTGGCACGGCCGGACCCCCACCAGGGAGTGCTACCACACCCTCTGATCCACAACATACGCTTGATCAGAATTTTTCCCCAACAGCAACGCCCCAAGAGGGGTCAGAAGGACGAGGATGATGACTGGGGAACCATGCCCACCACCTGTATACCCAGCGGGATCGCCAACGCATCTTACCGGCAGGGGACCAGGTGCCAGGGGATTGCCAGCGCATACCAGGCTGCGAGATCCCTGGTTTGCTGATACTGGCACGGCACACGCTTTCAGACATTTTGGCTGCAGATGAATAATTGACAGAACACACGACTGTTTCTGGTGCGGGAAGCTACCTAATTGTCTGTGGTAGAACACCAAGTTTTCGGTTTTCTAAAGCGTGTTTTGAATGCGCTCTAGAGGACCGCGCTGCTATATGAAAAGGCAATTTTCAGGGTATTTTTGATTAAGTTGTGCCTGATCTCACTGGCCTGATAAAGTTGCCTACTCTTTCCAGGAGACTTTTAGGAGACCACGACAAAAGCCAGTGACATTAAGTGCATCACATGCACTTAGAAAACTGTTTCACGTTTCAGCAGCATCGTTCTATCCATTGGTGCTGGTGCGCTTTTCGGCAATACCTTCGTTCCCACAATTTACATTCAGGGACGATATGAAAATGCGAGTCAGCAGGGTAAGCACTATTTTGCCAAAACACCTGACAAATCTTTACTGTAGTACTCTTGGCCTGTTTGATGATTACTTACTGGCAGACAGGAATAATAAATTCTCTACCGAAGGTTGTCGACTGAAATGTATGGCGGGGCGATTGATAAGACTGTGATTGCATTCATCGACTGAAAATGGTTCCAGCCTTCGTTTTCTCTGTTTGTTTTTTACTTACGGTTCATATCGACGTGCACGATGTGGGTTTTGATTTTTGAATGCCCTCATCAGAAATGGCAAAGGAAAAATTACCAAATATTTGGGAACATTTTAGGCACCCATTTTCACAGAAGGCAAAATAATATGAGGTAGTATGAGTTCTTGCCAATGGCCTATTCAAAACAAACACATCTTACGCACTTTACGGGGAATTACGTTGTGCTGAGGCCAATTTTTAGGGAAAGGCACTGAGTGAATCCATGGGCGCTCCCCAGGCCGACATCGCTTTCGGTTATTGCGCATACGGCTTTGAGCTTAATGCATGTATAGTAAAATGTCTAGAAGGTAGATGAAGATGGCCATTTCTGTCAGCCGGCATTATTCAACTCCAGGTCCACAGTCAACGAAATTAAATAATCGTATTCTTCCGCCATCGTGCTTTACTAGATTCAACGCCCATCCTTCTTCGTCGACCCTTCCCCTGTCCCTGACGGGACCGGACTATGATTAGTCCTGGTTTCTAACATATCCGGTCGCCTTCAGTTACATCTCACAACACTAATGCTCATTGGATATTTTTCAACTATCTCTGTTCTGTCAGAGTTAATTATTTCACTGGGCAGATCCGATGGTTACTACTTGAGAACGCACGTTTATCGACTTTGACTTAAGCGAAAACAATTACTATGGAGTTTTCAGGGATATCACAGCCCGAGTAGAAATGGAACATTAAGCACATGCACAAACCTTTGTCCTATTTATAACTTGTTTGTTATGTAGATTACTTTATACATAAATACAGTGGGCACATAAAAATATTATATTTCCAGGAGAAACGTCTTACCACAAAGAGACCACAACAGCGGAAAAGATGCTTAGAATCACAGAGAATAGTCTCAGTCCTGTTACTACGTTTCATGAAATCACTTAAGGTTACGTTTCATGCCGAATAGCACTGAAACGCGACTTGAGTATTCACAATTGTGCCAAGGCTTATTTACAGACTCCGCTTCGCGTCCGACCTCTGCATTTTTCGATTAGGTACACCAAGAGCATCCACTTTTCTTTTATTTTTAGGTCTTGATTATGTAGTTTCTAATTTCGTTGGAATATGGACGCCTCCACCGCAATGCTTGTCATCTACACCTGTGCCAAGCGCAACCAACCCTGGATCCCCGCTCCCAGTGCCATTTTGCCAGCACTTGTGATTGGAGTTCTCTGGGCGGCCGCGCAGTCGGCCTTGTTTGTGGCAATGCTGCCCTAAATGAACCCATCACCTTCCCCATCGTGACCACCGTGCCAGCCCTAATTGCCACAATCTGTGGCCTGAAATTCTTCAAGGAGATCACAGTGAGTTTGGCTAGTCAAAGTGAATGCATGGAGTTCATAAAACTACCCAATTCTGGGCAATTTTAATAAATGCATTCGACTTCTCGTGATTGGATTCGTCGGCTACAATTGCGCTTCTTTTATATAAATTGAATAAATCTGAATAATCAATAAACCCTATCCATTTTACGGATAGAGTTTGATTGCAAACGGTAACTTTCACAGAGGTTACTGAAATATTTTAGATTGCGGACAACGTCCGTTGATCACCAATTGAATTAACTGAACTAACCCTAGGTTCATTTCTCATTTTTTTGACATGCTCCCACACATTTTGACATTTTATTACTAGTTGTGTTTTCTTGGCATCTGTTGCTGATGCGAATTTTAGCTTTACAGGTTAGCGTTTCTTCGACGTTTCAAAACCCGCTGCCGTTTTCGGATATACGGTGTACTTGTCGGTTTTTAACGGATTATCCGTATCGCATACTACTGAAACTTCAAATACCTGCCAGTCCGGCTTGGTTTTTTGGTGGATAAAGGACCGCTTTCTTTAATCTCCGCCCCAAAAACTTTCTTTCTCTACAAGTCGACTGGAAATATTGGTCCAACTCTATCCCCGAAAACGACTGCCACGTGCATTTAAAAAATGAACAAATGAAAGTAGAACGAATGCATAATATTTCTGCAGTTACGACTGATTTTTGATTCGCACTTAGTTCATAAGTCGTTATTGGTCATTTTATAAAAAACCGAAAAAGATTTTTCTGTTTATAAATGCTCTTAGCTTTCTACCTTTTCTCGATTTATACGTCCTAAGAGTTAATGTGAAGACGTTGGATCTTCTTAGATATTAGGTGTATTATTAGGTAAATTGTGATATACCGATAGTTTGCATGGTCAAACGTCAATTTTGAGCACAATGGGACTGGATTTGCGATGGGCAGTCAGAATAACTATATTACAGCCGGATCTACTATGTATGTACATATAGATGTATATTGTGGCGACATCCACAAATAACAGGGAGACTTGAACGATAATATTTGGACTATTGACCATCAAGTCCTCAAGTATCCCCAACCCAGGCTAAGATGCACGAGTTCGTACCCGCACCCTGTCACCATGTGCTGCAATGACGAAACTTTGACTTAACTCACTGGCAGACTCGCCTATCGTTCTTCGTCGTCCCTACCTCTGCCTCCTGACGGGACCGGACTATGATTAGCCCTGCTGGACTCAATGACTAAAGATTCCGGGCTCGGATCCCAGTTGTTCGAAAGCTGAGGCGGAGTACGGCTGGCTGATTAAGACTAATAAACCACCACAACCCCCGTTGTCTTTGTCAGTATTTTATCTTGTATGCTTACAGGTCGCTTTGCGGTTGCCTGTGAGGGCCTTTGATTGAGCTCCAAGGCACGATGGTTTCAGCATGTGTCGTAGGCCCTGATCGGCGAAAGTTCTCCCACTAATAAATATAAATATTGAATATCTGATGTGGTGTGCATTCCGAGGTAATATAATGATAAAGTGAAGGCTCTTCGGAAAATTGAGTTGTACTCAATATACATATATATACATATAAACATATATATATACAAATATATTCGTGCATCGAAAAATATCATCCCAAGAAATTTATTTAGAAATATATCAAGTCCGTTAGGATCGAAAAGAAGTTTATTATGCGTATTTTCGAACGCTGTCTCTAAAAACAATACTCTCAGGGGAATAGTGAATGAACTGGCACATCTGGCCGGATTCAGTTTAAAGAACTCACAAGGGCAAGTGTGGATTGATGCAGACAATGGATGTCTCTTAGTTAAAACTCCAGCCAACCACAGTGCTTTTGTTGGGCAGCGCTTAAGTGCAGCTATTTTTAAATATTTCGCATAGGTCTAATGATCAGCTGGAGAATCATTCTTCAAAATAAACATAGCAATCTTTGCTGCTTTCGAAAATAACTTGTTCTGTTTCTGACATATTCATATATTTATATGTGGTAGTGGCACTTGCAGAGCCCCTATATAATTGCCAGCTGAAACTCCAGATGCGTATACTGCCTTCGTTTCCGGTGGCTCTCCTAGTCGCTTACAAGACACTTAACTCCGAATTTTTCTAATAATAATAGTAATGGACTCATCACGGTCTGTTATAGATAATTTCATGATTGTTTAACGGATAAATAATGCTAGTCACAACTATATTAACTGGTATAAATAACCCCGCCCAGCGGGAAACAATGATTTTATGCCTGTTAACAGGTTAGGATAAAGTATGATGCAAAGAAAAGAGCATTAACGTCTATTTCCTCGTATTCTTTCAAGGGCCTTCGAAACTACATTCTCCTCGGATGCGCATTTTGTGTAACTGCAGTCGGTGTTGCACTGAACGCTCTGTCTCGATGACCTGCATGGACGAACTCGCCATCTTTTTGACAAACAATGTACGCTTGTAAATTCAATCAAATGCAGGCTCTTGTATCCTAATTGCCCTAGTTTGCTCATTTTTTTATAATTGCATTCCGGATCTCGATAGCCCTGGGATGGCAGAGTAGCAGCGAGTACTTAGTAATTAAAAGTACTTGAACGTAATTTAGATAGACCGACTGAATAGTTCAGTTTGGTACTTGACGTCATGTACTCCTGATCTCTACTGGAGTGGACCGTTTTACACTAGACAGATATACGATGGGACTGACATATGCGACCTCCTAAGCAGCATGAGAGGACAGGAACCGTCTACAATGCGGATGGCTTTGAGCCAACTTTCTGTGAAATTAGGGTTACGTTTAAGGTTAGGATTAGGGTTAGGTTAAGGATTAGGTCCAAGGCTGGATTTAAAGTTAATGGTAATGTAAGTTAGGGTCAAGTTTAGGGTTAAAGTAGGGGCTAGTGTTAAGTACAGAGTTATGGTTTGGGGTAGGGTTGAGTTTAACGGCTTAGTTTTATATTAGGGTTGTTGTTTGGGTGGGAACACGTGAACAGCTTGCATTTTCCGGAATTATAAACAGGTCAGTTTTTATTACTTGGGTGGGGCGCACCTATTCCCACGTCCTGTTTATGGGGGGGTCACATAAGTCCCTCTTATCCCATGTAATCGGAGCTGCATGCTGAAGGGTAGATGAGCCATTCTGAGCATAAAAACTGGTGGAAAGGTAAGCTTAAACGTTCAGATGCCTCTGCCGGCTTCGTTCTTTCGAACACTGCAAGGATTTTGGCATCGAATGAGAGGCGACCCTTCTTAGCCAGTCGCCATGTGACTTCCGAGCCGAAATCCAGAAATTTACCAAATAGCGGAGGCCAATCAGAACTGTCCACCAGAAATCAGAACAGTTTAATTGGGCTGTTCACAGTCTAAAGTGGATGCCCTGATTGACTGACAGTGTCTAGTAAATCTGAGATGGCCTTACCAGTCACTGCCGGAGAAAGTCCACTCCTTCACAGTTGCACATCACGACGGTATAGCCAATAATGATTTCAGAAACGCATAAATGCTTTTTGTTCTGCTCGCGTTCGTCAGATCGTTCTCCTTCAAAGCCTGTATTGAAATTACCGGGTTTTCGAAAAAAGGGGTTGACTCACTTCCCTAATTAAGCTGCGCAAGCACAAATGAGATGTATTACCTTGGAAAAAAAGCTTCGGGGCACGATGAGTTATATGAACCAGCCTTGAATTTTCAAATTAAGTACCTATTGCAAGTAAACGTAACTTCTTTTGCTGGGAAAAACCCTTGAACAGCGAATACTTGTCACGTGTTTTCACACAGCTGACCTGCTGTGTTCACTGCAGGAGATGAGGGCGGTGGGTTTCCCGTGTAAAAAAAACACATGATAGGTCACCATTCCTCGACTGGATTTTTCGAGCAGGTTCGTATGACTACCTTCCAAATCTTGTACTTCCTGCTTTCACATTTAGGCGTGCCCAGTCACATGGAAGCGGTAATCATCTACCCATCATGATCGTAAGATGGATCTGCAGGGTATGAGGCGCCCTGCCTGCTACAGAGATATTTGGTCAGCGGTCTCCCCTTTTTTTCCACCAAACCTTAGTCGAATTTCCGAAGAATATATCCAGACAGGACATCGCATACCCTGAAAGCACGTAGATCGTATGTCTTCCGTCCTACCGTGGGGATGGTCCACTCTTGTGGGACAGCGTTTACATAAGTGAAGATTCGGGGTCAAAATATTTGGGCTGCAGCCATAGGGACTCGCTCGACAAAAAACAGTTGAAGTGTAAAATTTTGTTACTGATTGTCGCGCTGCTCACTGGCAGCCCTCACTCCATTGGAGACCGTTTCAGCAAGTAGTTAATTCAACTGGCAAAAGCAACCAGTTATGTTTGTCATGTGTATCGAGTTGGGCACAAAGTTCTCATTTTACAAGGCACTGAACACTGGGCACAGCCCTGCCAGTTAAAACAGTGCCCAGTCAGACCTTGGCATGTGCGGAACTGACAGAGTCAGAATACTTCTCCTACTTTACTGAGAAAGGAACCAATCCCGCATTTGAGTTGGTCCGACTGTATTTCAGTTAGTTTAGACGCCATATCCAGTAGAGTAGGAGGAGGTCCACTTCTCGTTTTACGATAATTTAGTACAGTTTGAGTGACTGCGCCACCTTTCCTGACAAGACTACTTATTCGCCCCCCTTCGGTATGCTGCCTGCGTACACTCGTGAGAAGACAGTGTTAGAAACACTCCTATGTTGCCTGTATCACCTTTCTGTTTCTCACAGGCTCTCCGAACAACTCTTGGAAGTATTGTCCTCATCTACACACAGTGGGGGAACTAACTCATGAAATGTCAATCGAAATTGCGAAATGCGTTTTCGTTTCCGAAAGATCAATTAAGCAGGACTGTAAAACTAATAATCTTGCAGCATAAGTCTATAATAATTCAGTTACCGCTGGACGCCGGTCTTCGAAAGAACTTCTCTCCGGTTGCATGTAAAACTGTACTCCGTAAAGATGACTGCTTAAGTAGCATGCATTTTTGTCACTGATTTTCGATGCTCTTAAAAATTCCATTATATTTCATGGAAAGCATGCATGAAAATATTCATTATTTTACTCATTTGGTAAACCAATTTACGTCTCCTTTCAATTTTATACTTGAAAGGAAGGTATAATTCGATTTTAGAAAGTTTCTAATTGTGAAATTTTTTAAAACCGTGAAATGATTGTTCGCAAAACGTCATGTCCCTGTATTTACCAATGTGGCTTGTAAAGGTAACAATATGGTTCAAATCCACTGCTAAATTTTATGAACCCAATATGGGCTCCTCCTAACACCGTAGAGAAACGTATGGTTTTCCGTGTGCGGAAAATATACAGCTTGTAGTTTGGAAACCTTGAATGCAAGTGTAACGGCGGGTCAGGGTTCAAAATTATTCGGGAATTGGAAAGGATTAAAAAACCGAATATTACCCTTCCGTCGAGTATAATATTGGAAGAAGGGGTAATTTCTTTACCAAATTAGTAAAATAATGAATATTTTCATGCATGTTTTCCCTGAAATATAATTGAATTTTTAAGGACAACGTAAACCAAGCAGAAAAGTGTATGCTACTTAAATAATCATTTTTTCAGAGTACGGATTTTGCATGCAACCGGAAAGTTCGTTTGAAGGTCGGCATCGCTAGGTAATTGAATTATTATAGAACTATGCTGCAAGATGATTAGTTTTACAGCCCTACTTAATCGATCTTTTCAAAACGAAAACGCATTTCGGAATTTCAGTTGACATTTTATGAGTTACCCCACCTACTGTACTTACAGTGCATCCCAGTGCATTTAATTGGATTTGCTTGATACTTCTTTCGTGTATAGTCTTAAAATATGCGAATTTGGCTGCATAACTGTAGCTCATTTGTGGCGTCCGATGTCCATGAGATCAGTGCTCTTGTAATATCTAGGATTCCCAGTCCTCTCGAATGGAGTTACATCGATCTTGAAAACTCCCCTTAGGTTTGGAGCGATTGGAATGGTCAAATGTGATTAAACTCGCGTCGTCCGGTGGGACCTTGTAGTTCAGGTGGCTAGAGCGTTGGCTGTACTAAAGTCCTCCCCTTGCTGTCATGACGCCGAGCTTTTCACAGCTGGGTCAAAGTTAACAGTCAGTACACCATACTATCGGCAAATGTACGGGTTCGCGAACGTCTTTAAAAGAAATGCATGCATTTTTACACAACTTTCTTAATTTTTGCAGTTCAGATATGGCGCAAAGTCTTCCTTTCCTTTTAACTATCACTTAAAATTTGTTCAGATTAACCATTGTCACCGCATTAAAGTCATACTAGACAGACAAGTATCGGAGGCGTTTACTATCAACAAACAGAATCCAGAACGAACTCCGAACTTTCATGGGTGAGCAGTGACTTAGGAAGGAATAATAAATAATAATAATTTGAAAGGGATTTAGTAAATTAGATGCCATATTCTTGAGTCAGCATTAAAGCCAGGTACACAATGTCATTGTTTTAATGCCGGCAAAATCTCGTCTAGCCTGTATTCGCTTAACGGAGCCACTCGGATGGGTTGCGACGGAGTGCTCTGCATATGAGCCTCCTCCTACCCATCTCCACGGAAATGAATTTTCCGACAAGTACTCGCTTGCCTCCCCCCCCCACAATCAAAATCAGTTATGTTGCCACTTGCTCTTTGAACAAAGCATGAAATTCTAGTGTGGGAAAGGATTTTTCATTCTTTAAGCATCAATCGGAAGGATAAACTATATGAATAGGGTAGGGTTACTATAGTGGTCTGCCTTCTATATTTATCTGCGTAGGCGTTGTTCGGTAGAGTTTTTGGTTGGAATCCAGTCACACCCTTTGATGGCTTTAATCCCAGCAGGAAGGTATTCTTTGAACTAAACCGCCCCAAAGACGTGGTTCTGTAAACGCGTCTGATACTCTCATTCTTCTGTACCTACTACACATGATTCTTTGGGGAAAAAACAAAATATTTGTCTGTAGTTAAGGAAACGCAGGAGGTGTCTTCTTATGGATATTTTAACCACCTACATCGCTCTCATGTCCGGGCACTCAACGGAGAAAATTGCGACACGGCCAATTCCCATACGTCCGCAATGTGGGATAGAAAGGCCTCCAATGCCTCCTTTAGGTTCGTGATGTTCAGCCTAACCTAAAGGTGGTACTGTACTTCGTGTCCGTGGACTCGTACCGCTCTGCCGGACACGGGATTCCCTTCGAGTAGTTCACTTTCAGTATTAGAGCCACCTACAAGAGTTCACTGTTGCCATGCCGTCAAAATATCGCCTTGCCCATTTCTCATTCAGTAGAAAATTACGTCTTCTTTCAAACTTACACTCGAAGAAAGGGTTTAATTCGGCTTTAGAAAACGTTTCTAATTCCCGAATAAATCTGAACTCGACCTGCCGTTACAATTGCCTTCAGGGTTTCCAAACTACAAGCCGTATATTTTCCGCGTACGGAAAACCGTAAATTTCTCTAATGTAGGCAGAGTAGATCATATGGAGTTTATAAAATTTAGCAGTGGATTTGAGCCATATCGTTAACTTTGGAAGCAACACTAGTAACTGCAGAGACATGACGTTTTGTGAACAGCCATTTTGCGGTATTAAAAAATCTCACAATTAGAAACTTTTTAAAAACCAAACGCTACCCTTCTTTTGAGTATAAAAAGTGAAAGAAGACGTAATTTCCTACCAGATGAGTAAAATAAGAAATATTTTTATGCATGTTGTCCAAGAAATATAATTGGATTTTTAAGGGCATCGAAAGTCATGGAGAAAAATACATGCTACTTTCGTAGTCATCTTTTACAGAGTATAGTTCCTGCATGCAGCCGAAAAGAAGTTTGTTTGAAGGCCGGCATCCTGAGGTAGCTGAATCGTGATAGAATTATGCAACCCTACTGCCCTACTTAATTGATCTTTTCGAAACGAAATCGCATTTCGCTATTTCGGTTGACATTTCATGAGTTAGCCTACCTACCGTTAGTGCGCACATTGGAGTGCTTTGTGTCGCACAGGACCCATCCCTTTCTTGTCGGCAGACGCACTAACATGCAAGCATGCAAGTCCAACGACCGATAACTGTCCGCCCCCCCCCCCAAGTAGCCCACTAAAACAAAATCTTTGCTCATTTCATCCAGAGTGATGGAGGTGGCTAGTGCGTGTACCTTGTGGGCTATTTAGACTAAAAAATTAATCAATATTTGGGTTTCGAGCAGTATGTTTGAGCCGAAAATAGCGAGATGATAGCTCAAATGGAATCTAAAATATTCTGTCCCAATCGTCAAGGTCGTGGCCCAGTTTACCACTAGTCAGTCCCACCTACTGACAGGACCGTGCGTCAGTAGTTTGCTTGCCACTTTACATTAAATGTCTGATCGATTAGGTGCAGTTTACGCTTTGACAATGAAGAGCCGACCCAGCTCTTTGAAACGTCAGCAGTTAAATAAACCTGTTCCGGAGAGCCCATATTCTTCTTCTAGTAATTAGTACTATTTTGGTAGACTAGTTATCTTTCCCGGAATTGGAAGTTTTGAGCCTACCTCAGTGTTTTGCACTGATTTTCAGGTCCCGAAGTTGACACAGGTTTTCTTCCACAACAGTTCTTTTTCACTCAAGCCACCAATGACCAAGCCCTAAGTAATGATCCCACCTGAGTCAAAAAGGCTATTTCGTACACAGTACCTAGATTAAATACTTCTATGCAGAGTACTTTCTTCCTTAGTAGGCAGCGTCTTCCGAGGGGCACTTAAACAATAAAAATCTCCATATAGGTTTAACTTTCATACTAAGTTTGACGATAACCACCAGCACGTGAAAGGAGAAAAATAGTGGTTGCTTTCATGGGACGTTGCTTATAATCAGGAGGACTTGGGTGACATTGACCGCACTCCATACTCTCGACGGTCACGCTGTGCAAAGACAGCACTGAGTTAATCCAACCGGTCAAGAGCCGGTTAGCCGGACATTAGTTGGCTTCTCTGGTATTTAACGTATGTGTCCATCCAAGGCTGGAATCAGACACCGCATACTTAGGTTTATATTCAAAAACTTTAGTATGAACCTCATATTCAGAGAGATCCATTGTGACTAGGTCTCCAGTCTCAAATATTAGGCCATTCCAAGGATTTGCAAATATTCTATCTCGGGCAACTAACGATCTGGAATAGTTCATTTATGCGCCTGTCTGGTTATAATGGAGAATGTCTGTGTAGCACCTCGGCCTTTTTTTCTCTCTCTCCACCTCCTTTCTCTCTCCTCATTTCCTTCTAGATTCTTAGTCGTCTCAGAGAAAAAATGATTTGCGACGTTGAATGTTGTGCCGAAGCAACTGGAATAATTAGCATTACACCCTGTTGCAGTTACTTCAAATAAATGTCGTTTTCTGTAACAGAAATAACCGTGCACGTCCCAAACATCATGCTACTATAGGTTTATTAAAACTGTTTGGGTAAACGCAACAGTACCACTAATAATGGACACTAGGCAAACAATGCATTAAGAGTAGTAAATTAAGAGTGGTAGGCAATGCCGTTGTCCTTGTGAACAGCGTCGACCCAAAAGCGGTGACTTACACGTAAGCGTGTTTGTAGTAAAATAGGCATGCACCGCGGCTACCTCACTCGCTCCTCCTATATCCACCAGCAAGTGAAAAGGTATGACAGTCCATACGGGCTGGGCCCTAAGTATAAGCCTAGCCCACATCATTCACTGGAGCATCTGGACCTCACACGAGTGAAGATGTCGGGGAGAGCACACTATTAAAAGTTGTCAAGCTCCAATCGCACATCAAGTCAAGAGGGATTTACTGAGACAATGGGGATATACACAACAGTGCCAACGATACTAAAAACCAAACACATAGTAGTTCGACCGTCGTAAAAGACCGAATCAGCGATGTGGACCCAGAAGCGGTGCCCCTCACACAATCTTGTGTCTATGCGCTTACCAGGGAAAATTTACTGTGGGCTCAGGATCTCGCACACATGTGAGATCATCAGGAGGACCACATTAGAAAACGACAATGTAGTTTGACCTTCAAGCCTGATACGGACGGGGTTACAACCACAGTTGTCAGTCTTCTCTGACACTGCTCTTATCGCGTGTTGGTGGACTCCGGGAGGCATCCGAGTGATTATACCTGAGAATGCACTGATTTACCGTGAGGATGAATACCGCAGTGTAAACTTTCTGCTCCCTCTCTCATTCACCAGTCTGAGTCTGTCAACCGACTGTCAACGTAGTGGCTGACGTGGCTTGAAGGTAGAGATTCAAGACCTGCCACACGCGTGAAAGACGGTCCCTAAAGCCTTGTCCGCACTCAACAGAGTCGGATAATCACGTATTTTTGGCGCGGCCGGGTCCGTGCCTAGGCGTACCGCCACATTCCCTTGCCTACAAAAACATTTGACCAGAAATTTTAGTCAACGACAGCAGCATCACAACGGGTCAGAAAGAAGACGAGGATGACTGGGCGACCATACCAACGGTCGGTATTCCCAGTGGGAGCTCAAGCACATCTACCCGCAGGGAATCAGGTGCCAGAGAACTGCCAGCGAACGCCAGGCTGCGAGAGCCATGGTTTGCTAATCCTGGCATAGCAGACGCTCACAGACCTCTAGACCCAGAAGAGTGACACGTGGCCCTGCATTTGACCGTGCCATCACCCTTCAAAGGCAGGGTAATCAAATAGTCGTTGACTGAGAGGCACTACCCATAAAGCACACACATACACTCCACACATGTATGGGAGTGTCAGACGTCACATTAAGAAGGAGACGTGACAGCCTGGCTCTTAGGCCACCAATCCGCCACACTATACAATCACGCACAACTGGGCAGGCTGCGTGGACTGAGTTGGGGCATCAGTGCAAGGTGGAAATCGGGTGGAAGGTGGTGAAACTTTGGTGCCACCTTCCAAGCCTAGAGTAGAAAGTGCCAATCGGGTGCTTGTGGTGGGTGATGGTGTTGTGAGGTGCGGGTGCTGGCGGAGGAAGTTGTGATGGTGTGGTGTAGCTGACCGTTGTCCACCGCCGGTTTTCGCGAATGCTCAGGTGGCCTAGTAGGCCCAATCGGGGGCTAAGTGTGCGGGGCCAGTGAGGGCAGTCGAGGCGGATGCGGCACTGGTTCGGCAGTCTCTATGCCATGGATTCATAAGTGATCGAACAGATTGATGTGTGAGGGGAATGTGCGACTGCAATCAGCACAGGTATGAACTGAGTCCACGTCCCTGGAGGTCGGGATTTTGGTGGTGTTTGAAACTGATGGAACATCGGGCGTCGTTCCATCGGTGGTGGTGGTGGGCAGGGCGGGCGGTGTCGGTGGATGATGGCGGCGGAGCGGCCACAGTGTGAACGACGGTCGGCGCAGGGTTTACGGCAGGGGTGAGAGTTGGAAAAGAAGTTGACATTGCCGAGTTGACGGCGTATTGGGTCCGAAGATGTTCAATAAGATCGATGGTTGCCCTGAACGTCCACTGACATCGCGGACAGGTCGGGGAGGTTGAACGCTGGGATCGAGAGGTGGGGGAGTTGAGACTTGCGAGCTTCACGTTTGGTTTTGGCAGCGGTGATGCGTTCGACTTCGTAGATTGCTGTGTCTGTCTTTACTGCCCTCTTCCAGGTCGGTCGGACTGGTTCACGGTTTTCGCAGGTGGTCGCGTTGATCTGCAAGCGCTTCAAGGAAGTCTTAAGAGTGTTCTAGTAACTCCGGACTTGTCCTGCTTGTCAGCGCAAACCCGTGGTGACGTCTCAATGGAAGAGTCGTTTGGGTAGGCGCCCGTCGTCCATCCGCACGAGGCAGCCGCCCCAGCGCAAGTGCAGTTGTGTCGCCATGGCGTGATGCTGAGGATTCTTGTCCGTTCCAGTATGGCTGTGTCCGAAATGCGATCCTGCCATCTCAGCTTTGGCATCCGTTGAAGTCAGTCGAGGTGGAAGGGGTTGACCCTTCGCGTCTGCTTCTTGTAAACCATGCAGGTTTCCACTCCATACAGCAGCGTCGGCCAGATGACTGCTTTGTACCCCTTGAGTTTGGCGCTGAGGTGGAGACCGCGACGAATCCAGACGGTGTCCTGCAAGCGACCGAAGTTCAGCTGGCATTGGAAATTCGGCGGGCCATTTCATTGCCGATTTCGGTGCTGTAAGAAAGGACGCTGTCAAAAAAGTGACGTTATCCACGGCTTGTATTTGGGTGCCGTCCAGGTTGATCTGCGAAGCGTCCGGTGGCGGTTGATGCATGGCCACCGTTTTCCCCGTGTTGATGACCAGGCCGAAAATGTCGCGGGCGGCGGCAAAGAGGTCCAAGCTCCTTTGCCTGTCCCCTTCGGAGGTGGCGTTTAGGCTGCAGTCGTCGGCGAAGAGAAGTTTATGGACGGAAGTTGTGGGCACATGCGACTGAAAGTGCATCCGCCGATGACTGAGGAGTTGGACGTCCGTTCTGTAGGCGACATTGATCCCAGGGCCCTTTCACAATAGGCATTCATTAGTATGACCGTGAACATGAGGCTAAGGACGGATCCCTGCTTCACTCCGTTGGTCATTGCGAATGCGTCTGAGACAGCTCCATTGTCCGTGACTCGCACCATCATACCGTCGTGGAGCTGACGCACCATCTGAATGAATCGCTCGGAGCAGCCGAATTTCTGTATGATTTTCTACAGTCCTTCGCGATTCACCGTGTCGAGGGCTTTCGTCAGATCCACGAAGATAGAGTAGAGATAGATCCTACTCTCCTGACACTTCTCCTGCAGTTGGCGGACGGCGAAGATCATGCCAGTGGTGCCGCGATGGCGGCGAGTCTGCATCGGCTATTTGAAAGGAGTCCCTATTTTAGATGTTTGTTGAGACGTTCGATGTGAATGCGAACAAAGATTTTTCCAGCGATTTTAAGGAGGGAGATGCCCCTATGGTTACTGCAGAATTGACGGTTCCCTTTCCGCTTGTTGAGATGGACGATTGCGACGTCCTTTAAACCTTAAGGAACTTTCCTTGACGCCATGTCTCCTGGAAGAACGTTGTCAGATGAGCTATGAGTTGGGGACCACGGTGCTTGTAGATTTTAACAGGGATCGCGTCCGATCTAGGCGCTTTCCCGCTAGAGATTCGCTGTACGACCCAGGTGGTTTCGTGGAGAAAGAGTGGGAGGTTGAGGGCGGCGTTGGTGTACACTTGAGGCAGACGGGCGATGACGGCGTCGGGGATGGAGGAGGGAAGTTTGAGGACGTCTCGGATGTGGAGAATAATTCGCCTAGACCAGCCTCACTCACTCTCTGCCCTCTCTTGAGCACCACTTAATTCTCCGGGCCTGTCAACCATCTGGTACAGGGATTGGACGCGGTGGCTGACAGAACCGCAACGGTCTATCTATGAGTGCCACATCAGGCCTTGTCTGACATCAACCAACCACTTACCAGAGAGGTGGATGTTCTGGCTGTGTGGCGGGTAACGTGAGACGGGCATGTGTGTTGTGTATGGAATAATATCTGATGTTGAGGTAAGGTCGCAGTGTTTCCCGGCAGAGTTTCATGGACGCGCATATGACACCATTGCCGTCAACGAATAGTTGTAGGCATTGTGGGCAACTGAGGCAGGTGTGGTGAATGTGCTTTGGTGCTTGTAGCAATTGTTTTCCGGTCTCAGTCCAACTGATTCGCAAGTGACCGACCGGGCATATGCGTGATTTGAATTTACGACGGCAACATGGCAGGATATACTGGTATCTGGCGGGCGTCGAGGCTCAAGACATTGGTTCACCCGTATCAGTGCGACCGACTCGCAGCTGACTGATTAGGCCAATGCGTGTTTTGAAGGTGAGATCGCCGTGGGGACAGATTGGGTTTTAACCCGCACTTTGTTAATAAGGCGGTTGTCGTTTGTTGAATGCTTGAGCGTTGGGAGTATCCTCACCGATGGTGACGCGCACACAGTTCGGGCTTCGTGACGGACATGATACTCTTCCAACTTTTGACGTGTGCAGCTCTTGTTTTGCAGTTCCCTTAACTGATAGAGGCGATGAATGCCAAATAAATGTATCGAAGGCTCAAATATGCGCTAAAACAATAAAGGGAGAAGAAGAAGAAGAAGAAGAAGAAGAAGAAGAAGAAGAAGGAGAAGCTTGTGGTCTGTCGATTTGTTCTTGTGTGACATGCTTAAGACGGAGGCTCCACGCCACACCATCCACTGCAAACAATCTCGTCGTTAATCGAGCGAAGTGAGAAAGAAGACAATCGAGTGGTGCCTTTGGGCGCAACCGTTTAGCGTACTTCTCATCATAGCACGTAGATCTTGAACAATAATAAAACCTTAATGGTATAGATGTTTGTCAGTTGATGAGATAACACTCCCCTCCTTCTGAACAAGAGTCAGACTGTGATTGTTCTTAGTGCGACCTCCATGACATCTTTCACTCCCTGACCTCTGAACACTTCTATGGCATGCAGGAGACAGCGATTCCACCCCACGCCGGCCTCTGCACATCGTTTCATCGTCAGTTTGTTGGCAGACACGGTGCATCTGAGTGAGAAGAGAGAGAGAGAGAGAGAGAGAGAGATAGTGGATGTCCCAGCTCAGATCCAGTGCTTTGATACTTAAGAGTACTTTGAGAGCTCCATGACACGCAAACAGTCATGAATTGGAAAGATGATAACCGATTGCATAGGTTTATTGCACTCGAGACTGAATAACAGCCCACAGTGACTCATTGATAGTGCGGTCTTCATCGCATTTCACTTCTGAGGGACTCGGACAGCCGCCCCCCCCCACTGGTGAATGATGTATTTTAAGTGCAAAGTCATGTGTCATGTCGTGTCAGCCACTGCGAACAAGCCTAACTGTGACCCTCTTGAGGTCGCATTGCTAGTGGAAGACTGTGAGTGCATGAAAAGAGCAAGCTACACAGAAGCGGCGCATGCTTTTTGTGTTGTAAACAGATTCGCGCGCAAGTTACCGCTGTTGGGACCACCTAGCGGGGTAGAGGCAAGCCTAATCGCCCACGGCTTTCGAGTCATTAAGTCTGTTTGGGACTTTTACGTCGTCTGCGAGCATTTGCATGAATCCCCTTGGGGTCAGTCATTTTCACGGATCGAGATGATAATAAATGCTTGCGTTGGAAGCTGATAAAGCACAAGGCTAATGGGTAATCCGGGTGGCATGACCATTCCAGCATTTTTGAAAAAGTCGTGTTAACGGAGAAGCATGCAGTCTGGCCAGCTGGATCATTACTAGGCCTTAAAGTTACAGTCTGTAGCGAACAGATACGGTAGATATTGTTGAAAGCATTTTTGAGTGCAGCGGTTACATATTTTGCCCCATTATACTCAGGGACCTTTCCAATAAGGACACTCATTAGTGCGATCCATGTGGGCTAGATGATTACAATTTACGTCCTTACGTGGAAAAACAAACGAATTTTCGAATAATTATTTCCACCATCTTGCAAATGACATATGTGCGGCATAAAGGACGATAGACTACCACTAACCACATACAGTATTCTTGGGAGAGGGGCGAGTAGGCAGCCTGTGTAGGCTCTAGGGACTCTAAAAGATTGCACGGGAGGACAGTTTAGTCTACTGCAGAGGCATTCAAGAGGTGATGATGCACATACTCTCCGACTAGAGTCCCCATGGAATTTCACTGCAGTAAATGACGCTGCAATTCGACCAGGAAAATTACAAGGTTAGCCACCTCGACACTAAATCAGTGAGGCATAAAGCAGTCAAAGTAACCACCTCATCGTTTGCCGCGGATCCGTGGCCTGCTTAAAATGACACATTGTAGGCAGAATGTTATTACCGACAAAGTCAAGGGAGACTGGAATGGCCATTTCTGGCATACTAGCCGTCGTCAGCCAGTCATACCCAACCCCGAAGTGTAAAATCCCTGGGGCTCAATCCCGCGGCCTGTTAATTAGAAGGGCAACACCTCTAACCATTGAGCCACGGGCTCGATGTCCTGTCGGCTGCGATCGGGAATGTAGAATGATAGACGGGCGCTCGCCGATCGACTTCTTACGCAACTGACAGGACATTGAGCCCGTGGTTCAGTGGTTAGAGGCGTTGCACTTCTAACTAACAGGTCGCAAGATGGAGCTTCATGTGTTCCACAGTTCGAGGTTGATTATGACTGGCTGGCGACGGCTAGCAAGCCTGCAACGGCCATCGCAGTCTCCCTTGTCTTTGTCGGTAATAACATTCTGCCTATATCATGCGCGCTGTGAAGCTACTGCTTCGGCTCGAGAGAGTAAGGCCATTAGGCACAACGGGACGAGTGAGTTCCGTAAGAAGACGATCAGTGAACAGCGTCCCTCTACTATGCATGACACATAGTGAAAGTCTAAGCTGCCCTGTGTGGGTCCCATATATTCAGGTTGTCGGGCCAGCCATGGTAGTGATAATTCGTGTAATGTATCGTACAAATGAAACTAGGATGAGGCGGATCTACTTTCAGGATGCTTTTCTAGGCTCTTGAAAAGCAACTGAAATAAAGCAAAAAACACTGAAAAAAAATTCAGCCAAGTCACTGACAGGGAACCAGAGTTCCCGGCAAATCCAAGCGCATTCGACAGTCCGGAGGATCCTCGGTGAATAAGCCTAGCGTGTACGGAATCATGAGAAGGCTAAAAATATAGCACCGGGAATGGTTAAATAAATATGAGGATAAAACTTTATCAAAACCGACCAAGTTTACTTACTTCTCGGGCCTATTAGACACACTGGAGTTTATTTTAAAAAAACAGCGAAACATAAGGCAGAATGATATTGCAGGCGTCGCATGCAACTAGACTTCCCACTGCTCCACGAGGCGACCCCAGCAGCAATGACTTTCGCGTGAAATAGTTAAACGACAGTTCGACCGTCGTTTCGAAGATGTCCACCGTGGGCTCCATATGAAGGCACAGCAGGCACGGTGACTTACTTGTGAATTAGTCTACAGTGATAGCAGACTTTCGCAGCATCTACCGCACCCTATCTTCCCCGCTCCCTACCTGGATCCGGTGTCAAGACAGAGTCAGGAAACCCGGAGGCGGGGAGCATGCAGGTTGACGGCATAGTCGAGCCTGCACCTTGACGTTCCACTCCACACCCCCTCGTCCACACAGCAAATGACCGGACTTTTTTTACCAACAACAACACTCTGCCGGGCGTAAGAAGGACGAGGAAGATGACTGGGCAGCCATGCCCACCACCTGTATACCCAGCGGGAACGCAAGCACATCTACCGGCAGGGGACCAGGTGTCAGGGGACTGCCAACCCACACCAGGCTGCGAGGGCCATGGTTTGCTGATACTGGAATAGCCCATACTCCCATAATTGAGAATTACCTATATATAATCTCGATCCCCACAAACGCTTATTTCAAGATTCCATCGCTCAACCTTTGTGTGCTCACATCTAAAAAAGGTTGT